GGATGTTCATTCTTCTATTAAACTCACACTAACTAAAAATATATAAAAATATATTTTTAATAAAATAAAATGACCAAAATACCCTTGAAAGATTCAAGTGGTATTTGATCAATATTTGTTATCGAAAAACTATTGATGATATTTTTTATAGGTGCATTCCAATGAGAATATGACACGTACCAAATTTCATATTCAGAAAAATGGTATTAAAAAAACTAAAAATAAAATATTTGAGATGTCGGATCTAAGATCAAATAGTGAGTGACTCTCTTGATAAAAAATAAACGGCTTGATAGTAAAGAGAGGATAGAACTTCTATGTTATAGAAGAACATAAAAAGCTTTTCCAATATTGACACGAAACAACAGTACACATTGCTTTTAAATTGAATAAAAAAAGGAGTTCTAATGTTAAATAGCGAGTGTGTTATCGAATACAAAATGGCTAGAGTGGGTCGCTTCAGCACCCGGCCGTGGAAAGTGGTGTCCATGTACAAAAACTCCGGACCCAACAATTGCCGCCAGACATTTTGAATAAACAAAAACTCCGGTACCAACAATTGCCACCAAAGAACGTGTTGCTAAAGTAAGTGCCCACACTGGGTGAGTGCGGATGGGGTGTACATAAAAAACATGGCAGAGGGAATATTTTTTTTCTAATTCAAATCAAGGTCGAGATTTGTTAAATTTGTATTAAAAATCTCAATGACACAGTTTCTATGCAACTAGTCCGTATATTGTAGAAATGCGAGCTTGACAATAAATATATTTTTTAAATATAATTTGATTTTAATTTTTAAATAATATATAATCTTTAACATTTAGATCGTGAATATGAAAAAAATATATATATTTGAAAACTAAAATTTATAATTATATTAGAAAAATATTTGAACAGTTAGTTACACTTAGTTTTTGGATGGACCACCTATTTGCATCCATCTTTAAGATACATGCTTTATATCTCGGGAGTGCATATTGTAGAAACGCAGTCCTACCTGCATGAAACAATTTTCTAAATCTTAATAAGTAAAAATTGTTTACTTTATTTTAGGGTCTGTTTTTTTTAGTGTTTCTTATTATTTGGGGATTCTATTAACCAATTTAGTATCATCTAAGAGCTAATTTTGGGTAAAGTCCTATTTGGGTTACGATGTTATATGAGTCCATATGTACTTTAACCATTTAAAAAACTTGACAGTTGCCTTATATTTTATCATGAAACGATTAAATTTCAGATGAAAGGCATCTCCCAGTGGTTCTTTAAATTCTTTGAAGAACCATTCTCTTATTAATCTATTTTATTCAGAGTAGAAATATTTTCTGATCCATTCTTTGTAAAAACCTTCTCTCTGATATTTTCTGATACATCAGAACACTGTAAAAAAGATGACGAACCTTCTCTCTCTCTCGCTCTCTCTCCTTGTCAAACCAATTGCTAAACATTTACTTTAACCTGACAACTACCGAGACTTATCACCAGCAACGATGGCTGTCAGTAAACTACTTAATATAACTGAGCACCGAATACATAGTTTGAATCAATGTTAGACACAGCAGGAGCCCAGCTGCCAGCAGCGCTATAACTGTCCACGGGTCACGAAGGTACGTGTTGACGAATCGAGCCCTCCACAGGTTCCGACGCCTCTTGCCGTGGCGGATCAGCCGGGTCCGCACCCCCTTCAGGCGGGAATTCTCAAAAAAGGCCATTCCCTTAGTGACCCGATTGAAGAGTTCAGCCACCTCCTGGTCACTTTCCATCCTATTCTCTATTATGCCTGAATCTACTAGCAGTTGGAATTCTTTGGCTGTGTCTATCAGATTATCCATCAATTTTACAAATGAGCTGATAGGATTATTCATGTCCAAGTGCAACTGCTCGAATGCCATCATATCTAATAGAAAGGTTTCCTATTCCAAAAGCCATAAAAAGTTAAAACAAATATCGATTTGTTTGATAAAAAGCTCCAAATGCCATAAAAAAGTTTTCTTTGATAACTTCTCTATTTTTAACCCGAAATGGACCTCATAATATACAAGTTTTAAAAAATTTATTTTCACCCATAACGCATGCTAAAGGCTTTTATAAATGGACTCCTCGATGTGGTAACCCTATAATTGAAAATAAAGGTTCAATAAATGTTGCGACATTATATCTAGTAATATAAGTTGTAATGGAAAAAAAAAAAATTGTATCTTGCACAATAAAAAATAATATGATTTAAAATTAAATCTATGCCATTTGTTACAGCATTTAATGAGCGCATGGTTTGAAAAAAAGGATGCGGTTAGCATGCCGCACATGTAGAAATGCGGGCCCTTTAATAAATTTATTTTTGAAATAGAATTCAGTCCTAATTTTTTAATCTGGAGATCATGAATATGAAAAAATAAATAAATTTTTAAAACTAGAAATAATAATTCTATTAAGAAAGCATTTAGACCATTAATTTGAATTGTTTTTAGATGGACTACCTATTTGCATTCATCTTTAAAATGGATGCTTTATGCCTTAAGACCGCATATTGTATAAATGCGGTCCAGCCTGCATGAAACAGTTGTTCTTTACAAAAAATAAAAAGCGTCAAGAAAGATTTTACATCTCCATTGACATCTCTATCTCTCTCCTACTTATACAAGTTCTACAAAAATGAAATATTTTATAAAATAAAAGTTATTTTTCTTTTTTAAAATAATAATATTTATTTATTTTTTATAATTCATAAAAAATAAAAGTTCAACGTGCGTGATTTGTGTGCAATGCGTACCGGTTTGTTGGGTGCAATTATGACGGGTGGTGCAAACTTGGACACTGTACGATTTGCCCCACGTTCCCCCAAACACGTGCACACGAAGTGCTACATAAGTGCCCTCCACACGCAGCATGCTCAACTCAACGCACTCGATTCGTGTGCAAAGGGGGTACAAACTTTAATGTAAAATTGTTAGAAAAATTGTCTTTTATTGAAAAATTTATCTTTTAATGAAAAGATTATCAAAAGATTCCATAATTTAGATATTTAAGGTTCTAGCCCTTCTCTAATCTTCGAAATTCAACCAAAAAACCTGTAAAATGTGAAATAGCCATCCTTGTGACTGTGTTAACGAATACGAACCTCAGTTGGGGTAATGACTACATAGGGTAGCTTCAGCACCCGGCCGTCGAAACTGAAGTCCATATTGCCATCTCTCGGGCTCACTTGGAACTTCACCCCGGCATCATGTAGCGCCGTGGCTGATGGTACCCTCTTGTGATACGGCTCCGGATTTTTTAGCCCGTCTTCAACTTCAGGAAAGTCGCACCACGGCGCCGTCATTTGGTAAATATGCAGCAGATGCATCCCTCCAGGGTCCCGGGTACTTATTACTCCAATGGAGCTCATACGCTACCTTATGCTCCTCGGCCGCCTGGGAGCGTTCCCCCGAGGGGTCCAACAAAGTCTGCAAGACCAGCAACGGGATTTGGTTTTCCAACAGCACCAGGTCGTGAGTCTTGTTGTCGGAAGAAATAAGCCCTATTGCGGCCGAACACCGGATCATCGTCTGCGTAGCCTGATGTGTCCTCATCTATGGCGGTGCGGTGGAGTTCATGCAAGAAGCAGCCGTCGAGCAGCATCATGTTAAGGAACTCGGGGCTCTCCATTCCAGGCAGCTCATCAGGCCCCTCATAGCAGGCCCTGAGCTTCCACTCCACAGCTTGGAGGGCCTTGAGGTAGCCGTCGGCCGAGTGTTTCGAGCGATCAAGGAAGTGGAGGAGTGCACGACGCTTGTGGTACCCCATGGGTAGGAGGCGAGGGCTGCCGTGGTGGAGTGGACCCAGAGAAACAAGCCTGGGAGTGAAGGACCCTTTATGGAAGTCATTGAGGTAGGACGGGATTTTGTAAATACAACGATGTGTCCATTCCTCCGCCACCTCCTCTCGGTTCAATTTGAGATTCCCATTCACTACATCGATGACCCATTGCCTGTCCGATTGCTCCCTGCCTTGCATATTTGTAATCTGACAGTGGAAGAACTTTTTAGAGATGGAGAGGCTCCACTTTATCGATATACAGGTGGTACCTCAGATCACGTATGAGGCATAAAACAATGATGAGAAGAGTTGGGATATTCTTATAGGAAGTCTAGTGTAGGTTTAGATTAATTGCTTAAGAATATCCAATAACAGGAGAAAAATAAAACTTTTGACTACCAGCCTGGTGCCATGATACCTTTGAGAGACTGTCGAGGGTTTTTCATGGACAGGTGAGTATAAGAGAGAGAAAAGAGACACTCTATATGTTCTCTTTCTCTTGGGAAATTTAGGACTCTTTCTCTTGGGAAATTTAGCACTGAGTTGAAATATTTACCATTTTACCTACCTGCCATTTGTGTAGAGCCCAGGCTCTAAACAATGAAATTAGAGATTGTCTTCAAATAGTGTCAGGAAATGTGGTTTCAATATTGGAAATCTCTGTGAAAGTCTTAAATTATATTTTTATTCTTAATTATAAAATTTAAAGTTTTAAAGTAGTGCAGATCAAACATATCTATGAGAACTTCAAAATCTTGAAAATTGACAGTCTAAAAATGAATTACGATATACACTATTTCCAAAACATGAAATCCAATTTTTTTCTCATATCCATGTATCTTGATATTGAGAGGATCAATTTGAGGATATTTGGACACCAAAATAATATTTTCTAGTGAAATTTTTGAGGTGGGCTCTAATTTGATTGTTTAGAGCCTTGTCTCTATATAAACTTTTCCTTTTTAACCTATATTTTGTAATCCAATTCCCAAAGGTAAAATATCATATGGTTAAGATAGTAACTACAAAAGGACAAAATTATCATTTTCTTTTCCACTCATGCATTCAGGTAAACTAAAGTTATGTGATTTCTCCCGTCAAAACAAAGATGGCACCTAAATGTTAAACCTCCTAAATCCTACAAAAAAAAAAAAAAGGACCCCACTCACTGACTGGTCGACACGAAAGGTCTAACATAACTTCTGATGTGCATTCGCATGGGAGTGGCAAATCAGTCATCAAATTGTTAATTTTTGAATAATCAATCTACATTTTTTATTGACCCAAAGGGGATAATCCAAGTGGGATAATTATATATTGCAGTTACATGCCAAATATAATCCCTTGATTATAAGGATTTTACAGGATAAATATTATTCCTAGTTGTAAATCCCTAGATTATAAGGATTTACAATTTGAAATAATGAAACCGTCTAACACTCCCCCTCAAGTTGGAGCGTGAATATCGAAAAAACCCAACTTGCGAATCAAAGAATTGAATTGATTATGGCCATGAGATTTAGTGAATACATCAGCAAACTGCCATATTGTTGAATTGTAAGAGGCGCGTAGGGTTACTTCATAATGTGGCTGTCGTGGTTGACTCTTATACTGACTAAGGATTTGAACAACATGAACGATATCTGGTCTAGTGAGAGTTAGATATATGATACGCGACCTACAGGGCGACGGTAAATGGTGGGATCAGAAAGGAGTTATCCATGATCATGACGCAATTTGAGATTTTACACCATGGGAAGGTGAGTAGTTCAGGCACCAAGGAGACTCATTTTTTCAATTATCTCAAGAGTATACTTGCGTTGTGAGATACATAAACCCTTTTTAGACCGAGCCACTTCAAGACCACGGAAATATTTGAGAGGGACAAGATCTTTCAAGTGTAAGCGGCGATGTAAGAAGGATTTGAGAGACTGTATGGCATGTGAATTGATGCGTGTAACAATGATATCATCGACATAAAACAAATTGATCAAAAAACCATCATGGCGATTGCGAGTAAACAAGAATTCATCCGCTTTAGATTGGGTAAAGCCAGCATCAATAAGGGTCGAAGAGAACTTTACAAACCACTGACAGCATGCCTGCTTGAGTCCATATATGGATTTGTGTACCGACAAACCATTGCTTCCCCCTGTAGAGAAAATCTTGGAGGAAGACTCGTGTATACCTCTTCTTCTAAGTCACCGTGAAAAAATACATTCTGCACATCTAATTAGTGCAAAGTCCAGTTATGAACTGAAGAAATGGCTAATAAACAGTGAACAATAACAAACTTTACAACTGGTGCAAAGGTCTCATGGTAGTCCAATCCTTCACGTTGGGTGTAACCCTTGGCAACAAGGTGGGCCTCGTAGCGTTCAACGGTACCATCAAATCGGTACTTGACTTTATATACCCACTTACATCCAATGAGAGTTTTCCCAGGAGGTCAAGTCGTAAGGGTCCAGGTATGATTCTTTTCAAGTGCCTGCAGCTCACATTGCATTGCCTCTTGCCATTTGGGGTTTTGCATAGCTTGAGAATAGGAGTTAGGTTCCTTAATAGAAGAGACAGCTAAAACAAAACTTTGATGAGAGGGAGACAAGTTTCGATAAGAAATGAAATGGGACAGGGGATGATGTGTACCTTTGGTGAAACCAATGCCGGAAGAAGATGTGGAAGCAGATCCAAGGGTGGCGTGAGAGTAGTGAAAGTCTTTCAAATAGGAAGGTGGTTGAGAAGCTCGTTGAGAACATAAAATGAATGGTATAGAGATTGGTGTTGGGACAGAAGTGGATGGGGTGCCATGGGATAGGTCTTGATGAGGAGAAATATGGGAATTGGGTAGGGAAGTGATAGGATCAGTGGTATGTGAATCAAGGGGTGGGGAGTCATCAGGTATTGGGAAGGGTAAAATGACAAAGGAATCAGTGGAAGGGAGATTTTGATAAGGGGAAATGTTATCATGAAATACTGCATCACGAGAAGTGAAAATAGAATTGGTGGAAAGGTCAAAAGACGGTAGCCCTTTTCAGCATGAGGATAACCAAGGAAAATACATTTGCAATCGCAAGGGTCGAACTTATCCCAATTTGAAGAAATGGTACAAGCGTAACAAAGGCAACCAAAAACTCTCAAATGGGAGTAAGATGGTTGTTTGTTAAATAATACTTCAAACGGGGATTTATTTGATAATAAAGGTGTTGGTAACTGGTTTATTAAATATGTGGCAGTAAGAATGCAATCTCCCCAAATGGTAAGAGGAAGATTACTTTGAAAGTGAAAAGCACGTGTCAGTTCAAGTATGTGGCAATGTTTGCGTTCGGCAACACCATTTTTTTGCAGTGTGTAAACGCAACTATGTTGATGGGTGACCCCAGGTTCTTTAAAAAAATGTTGAATAGTACGAAAAAAGAACTCGGATCCATTATTTGTCCTTATGTGCTTAATAGTGCATTGAAAATGAGTATTTACAAATGCAAAAAAATATTTTAATAAGGATGGAGTCTCAAATTGTTTTGCATAGGAAATACCCACGTGGAACGAGAAAAATCATCAAAAAGAGTGATAAAATAACAAGCTCCACAATGGGAAGAAGTGGAATAACCTCCACAAATCTCACAATGAATCAAATCAAAAGGTGCAGTAGATGAAATAGAACTTGAAACGAAAGGTAATGTTGTTTCTTAAGCTAAAGGACAAACATCACAATGACAAGGATTGAAAGCAAAGATCCCATCAACAGTCTTAGCTAACAAATTCAAACGAGTAGAAGAAACATGTCCTAAACATCTATGCCATAAATCAAAACCAACTGAAATGGACGAAAGAGTAGCACGAGTCAGTGGATGGGCTTCAAAATAGTAGAGGCCACCACACTGCTTAGTTGTTCCAATCACCCTCTTTTGGTATAGGTCCTGAAAAATACACATATCATGAGAAAATGTCACTGAACAGGGATAGAATGCAGTACGTTTGCTAATGGAAAGTAAATTGAATCCAAAAGAAGGAACACACAATAATTGATGTAAGGAAAAAGTAGGTGTTAGAAAAAACAAAACCAATATGAGTTAACGAATCAAAGGAGCCATTTGGAAGTTTGATAGGTGCTATGTATGAAACAGGAGTAGATGAATGAAACAAAGATGTGTCAAAAATCATGTGATCAGAAGCACCTGTATCTACAATCCAAGTATGAAGAGGATGTGGACTTACTTGCAAAGTTGACCATTGGTTGTACATTACCTTCAATAAGCATAGAGAGCAAGCGACAATATTGATCATGTATAAATTGTGGGCTACTTTGACTTGAATTTGCATGAACGATGTTTTTCTCATTTATTGTAGGCTTAGAAGATGTCCCTTTTCCCGGTTGGTGCAATCGATGGCCCCATAGATAACCGTGAAGAACATAACAGGTGTCAATGGTGTGGCCTACCTAACCACAATGATCACATTTGAGCTGTTATTTGCGAGGACCTGTTGCTTTGTCTGTATTGTTGAAAGGATGCGGGGGTTGGCGGTTTGTAGTTGGTGTAGCGGTGTTGACTACAAAGGCAACAACATCTTTTGAAGGAATTGTTTTTGTAGCCACCTGTTGCTGCTGTCATTCTTGAAGAAAGCAGAATAAGCTCTATTGACATTAGAAAGAGGGTCCATGAGAAGGATCTGGCCTCAAATTGGGTGATAAGACTCATGGAGCCCCATGAGAAACTGAATTAATCTGTCATATTGTAGATAGTCATGCAAGGCCTTAGAGGACCTACAAGAACTGGGTGGAAGAGGGGTATAAGAAGCAAGTTCTTCCCAAAGAGATTTAAGTTTGGCGTAATAAGATGAAATGGTGGAAGAACATTGAGAAACAAGTACAAGATCCCGTCGTATCTTGAAGAGACGATTTGCTTTCAGAAAAGCGATCTTTCAGATCATCCCACATGCTTTGAGCAGTGGTTTTTTAGGAAATACTATCAGCAATCTCCTTATTGATAGAATTTTGGATCCAGAATCAAACCATGTCATTGCATCTTTTCCATAGAAGATGATTAGAAGAAGAGATGGGAGGTATGATTAAAGAACCATCCACAAAGGAAAGCTTATTTTTGGCACTCAAAGCAGTGGTCATAGCTCGACTCCATTGTGGATAATTCTCACCTTCAAAGATGTGAGAGACAAGAATATTACCAGGATTGTCATTGTTGATCAAATAAAAAGGGTTACTGAAATCAATAACAAAGGAAGAAAAGCTATTACCATTGGTCATAGTGTTCCCATCAGGGATGAAATTGGTGGAGTCTTCAAAAAGAGGAGGTATGTGGTTGTTCATGAAAATAGCCACGAATATGAAATTTGACGTAACTGCGTCAATGGAATACAAGTAGCAAGAAATTTACGGACTTCTTTCTAAAGAGAAGGAAGCTAGTGAGAGAGAATCTCGGTGGTGTGTAACTATGGCAAGTGATCCGAGCCAGAAGATCGACTACGTGTTCAAGATGGCACTCATCGGTGACTCAGCCGTGGGCAAGTCTCAGATCTTGGCCCGATTTGCTCGAAACAAGTTCA